TCCCTCTCTCAAATCTTTGAGGACCGAATTTATTTTTAATCAAGAAAACATTTTTGAGCCTTTTAATTTTATTTTAACTTAAAATGGCTAAAAAAAATCTTATGATAATCAAAAAAAAAACATTTCATATGGACTGGTAAGAAAATTTTTATTTCCTGCAGAGTTCATAAAAGTTACATCATTCGAAAGAGCGTAAAAAGTTGTGTTTATGGTGAAGTTTTCACGAAGGGGTATGCCCAAGTCGGGTGTGGGTGTGGGTGTGCATAAGTTACCACGATAACCTGTGTGTAGATTTTTTAGAACGTTTGTCTAAACTCTATGTTGTCGAGGTGCGCTTCGTTGAGGTTAGTCGAATGTCACGTGTTTCGTTGTACTGTCTATATAGTATGAACTCTCAGGGGATGTTTTTTTGTGTTGTTTTTACCTTGTGATTTGTTTTTTTTATGTTAGCATAATCCATGATGGTTTGATTTTGTTTGGAAGGGTGTTGTGCCTGTTGTTTTTTGGCAGCATTGGTTCGATGGAGAATATTGTTTTTTCTTGTAGTCTTGTTTTATGTGGTACGATGAATTGTGGTTTTCTGTAGTTGTTTTGATTGTGTCAGGGTACTTCCGTTTCGGTTTTATTTTCTTTTTTAATCTGAAAAATTATAAATGAATATAGTAGTTTATTTCAAATATGTTTATTATGCAATAGTGGAGATTTATTTAATATATGAAAATAACCATATTCAGTGAAATAGTTAGAAATGTCACTTCTGTGGTAGCGTTTTTTTGATCAGTTCCTGAAGAGGGTTGTTATCTGTGGATGGTCTATGGAACAGAAAACAATATGTTTAATAAGGTGTTGGTTATTGGTTGAATGCATACTTTGTGTATATTTTGGGTTGTTGTGGCAAAGTCAAGTAACTTGTTGGTGGCTGTTTCTTCACTAGATAATCGATGGCTTTGTCGAAGAAGGATTGATTTTGTCTAAACGTCAAGGAAATATTTTGTGTTGTTCCATAGTCTTTTAAATATTGATGGAAGTTGGTATTGAATTGTTGTTCGATTTTCTCTATTGTACTTCCGTCGAAGTTTGGTATATAAGGAAGTTGAAATTGTATTTCGGTTTCCTCGTTCTGCTGTCTTTATTTTTGTTTTTTCTTTGCTTTTCGATATGTATCATAGTTGAAAACATGGTTACGTAGAATTTCGTAATTAGATCTAGTGTATGGTGGGTAGAGAACTGTTGCACCAAAATCGTTGATAATTTCTTGATTGGCTTCATTGAAGATAATATCAGATAGTTGATATAGATTAAGTTGCCACTTCGTTTCATACCTTTCTTCGTTGAAAGTATCTTGATCGGAACAATATCGGATGGCTTTTAAGAAAAATGCTCGTAGCCATTTCCATGTGTCTTGTTTTATTGCAGGTTGAAGAATATCCCGAAATGATGATAGTAACATAATCCGTTCGAATGTTTCTTCATGATAAACACTTGTTCGAAGAAGTTCGCTATTGTTAATTATTAGAATATCACGAAAATGAATAGTTGATCCAATATGAATTACATTCCATGTAGGTTGTGAAAATTGTGAATTAGCCATAGCAAGTAATGTACAAAGTTCATCTTCAGATCTGTTCCATGTAATAAATGCTTCATCTCGATATCTATATTGGTGAAGAGAAATGGAGTATGATTTTATAATTAAAAAGCAGGATACATACCTGAAAAAGAGTTCATTCTTATTAATAAGATCTTCTAATAAATTTTGTTGCCAATAAAATAAATAGATATAGACTAATGGAATAGTTAATGATGAACCAGATGCACTACCAGCAGTTTGTCGATATAATTTATAATTGTAAATAACATATTGTTCATCGAGTACGAGACGAACAAGTTGAAGAATTGTACTATTTGTCATACCTTGAATAGAATGATCTGATGAGTTGTAAGAATTGAGAAAATGTTCTAAAGCATCCATAACTTGTTGATGTGAAAAATCTAAACATAAATCATTAATATTAAATGAGGTAAATAAAATCGTTGGTAGAAGATGACCACTTTTCTGATAGAATTCCATGTCATGTCTAACATTATAAGTTTTGTGAAATTTTTTACAATGAGTTGCATCATTAAAAAGTAATCCAAGAAGACGACCAAGATAACGACTAATACCCATAGTTGGTCCATCATTACATACCATAATTGGTTGAACTGGAATTCCTTCCTATATATAGTTTTGAGTCAACATAAACTACAGGATAAAAGTTAAAAAGCAAGACATACATACTTTATGTGTGTCTGATATGAAGTATAAATACTGCATTCGTACTGTAGATCGATCGGTCTTCATAGACATATATATTGTGTTTCAGTAATAGATTTCGAATGTAATAAATTGTTCAATGTTGTTTCAACTCGTTCAACAATTTTAGCTAAACAATTTTTACTAGCAGTCGGATATGAACGACTGAGTTTAAAAATCAATGAATAGCTGTTTGTTCGGTTCATGAATCGATTGACTTTGTTATAAAAAGTATGTACTGACTCCACATGATAGCCAATATCATTATAAATTGGTCGTAAAATAAGATTTTCATCTCTTAATTGTTGTCGAATTTGTTGAAGTTTCTCTTGGTAATAACACGCTTGTCGACGTTCGAATCGAGTCATAGATTGCAAACGTACATCATGAGTGAGAGAAGAGCTATCACTCCAATGAATATTCTTGTCATTTGATGCTTCTTGATGATGGTAAGTTATTTCTTTGTCATCACTATCATTATCACTCTCATCAGATGAAGACCAATCATTTTCATTGATACTATTGTCCTTGTATGGAAATTCCGGTGTCCAAGAAAAAATGCTTCTTTCGAATTCGTCATCAGATGAGACTGATAAGATGCTAGTTGTTTCAGTTGTGTCATTGATTGGATAAGCCATTTAAGATAAATGAAGGTATCTATTCTTGACTTTAATATCAAACATATAGATAATTAATCTGAAACAAAAAAAAAAGACAATGAGATTCTATATGTGACAGGTGATCAATTCAACTAACACAAAAACACATTTATTTTAGTTAGAGTAATACTTATCATAATACTTTCAAAAACAAAAAGACAATTTAGCATATTTTCTTTTTTAATCTATATAGTATAGGTATACATGTATCTATGGTAGTGTATTCGACTATGTATACGGCAGGATTTTTATGGAGTTGAGTTACTTTGCATATTGAGTTGTATATCCGTCCGTGTACGAGTAGTTTGGTTGAATAGATTTGCGACTTTTCCTAGTAGTTCATAATCACGACGTTATTTCATATTGTGTTCACGTTGGCTGATGATGTTGATGATTTCATCGGATTGCTGAATATTTTTATGATAAGATCTAGTAGATAGTAGCTTATTTTTTTCATTGTTTATTATTTTGCTGTAGTATTGCCCCATTTGTTCGGCTTTAGCTATTGTTTGTTCAGCGACATGTTCGGTAGATGATGTTGCACCTTGAAAGCATAGTGATATGAAGATATGATTTATTTTTGATAGTTGAACATCTTGAAGTGTATATGATGATGCTTGTGCGTGAACTTCAAGCCATTTCTTAAATATAGCAATTTCATCGATTATGTTTTGTTGTTCGTGTATAGCTTTCCATATAATCTTTGCCGATTTTCTCTAGAATTTGAAGGTTTCTTTTTTATGAATTGAAAAAAATATCAGTGCACATACTTCCGTTTGTCTTGGCTTTAGTGCATAAAAGTTTTCAATGAGTCGATGTTCTTCAGCATCTAGTCGAAGCATTTTCTTTCGTTTGTCAAGTTCAAGTCGTAATTGATATTGATCTTTTTCGATGAAATTATGGATCATATTAATAATCTTGTCCATATCCATAATGGATGGTGTATTTTTCATATGTTCATCAATAGCCTGTTGAGCTTTTTCACATTGTAGTTTATATTTATTAAGACGTTGTTTGATTAAAGGTTTGGATCGACCGTATGTGTAACACATTGAATTGGCATCGGCCATTTTTTTTCGATACTCGTCCAGTCCAAATACCTTCGGTCATGCCAAGATTATAATAGTAAGACCATTGTTCATGTTGTAATTGAGAATAATTTAATTTATTGAGTAATTGTGTAAGTTGACGAATAAAGATGGGTATGTCTTTCTTATTCAATACTTCAATAAGGTTATCTTGATTTATAATAGTTGATGTTGATGTTAATAATGTTTGTGTAAATTGACTATCCGACAATTTTGAATAATCTGGTAATAAATAGGTTGGATCAAAACTGGTTTCCATATCTGTAGCATAGCATTTGTTTTTGTTGGATAAACCATCAGATGTCAAGTCATGTTGAATGTAAACATCTGAAACCATATTTGCTACATGAGAACCGAATTGGTGAGAGACATTTTTCTTTTTTAAATGAAGTTGACGTCTGTTCTTTTTTTTATGTTGATGCTTGGAAGTTTGTTGACTTCGATTGTATTTGTTTTTCATGGTTGTTTGTTGAAAGTTTTATTAAAACTTTTGTAGTAATCTTCGAATTCAATTGAGTAAATTTAGATATCTAAAATGAGAAGAAAGTCTAATATAGAATTTTTTTTTCAAATGTAACACAAGTGTGAAAGGCAAAAAAAAAACAGTGAATCTATAAGGTAGTAAAATTTACAAAAAAAAAAACAATGACAAAATAAATAACATTTTCATGTCTATAGAATTTTTTTCAGATATTCGTGCCATTACGATTCATTCCATTTGTTTTTTGTTCTAAGCAAAAAGAAGAAGTGATTTACAATAGAAATAAAATTAGGTTATCTCTTACTCTTTGCTAATGAATCTTTTAATAATGATGACGCTGGTCGTTTACGTGAAAGTTCAAATTCAATATTGGGATTATTTCGAAAACCAACAACTAATCTTATTTCTCCCTTGTCTGTGTTTTTAAAGTGACTATCGTGTATCATGTGTATTTCACGAGCTAAACCTTTAAGTCTAGCCTCATGTGTCACATGTAGAAAGAGGTTCGTTTTGAACTTCTCATTGTTTCGTTGGATGGTTGCTTCCATATTGTTTGCATTTTTTTGTGTCACATTTTGCGTATGTTGTGTAAGCTGTACGGTAGCTGCACTTATGGCCAGTTGTGTTTGCTTCGCTGTTGGTTGATTAGATAATTTTTGAGGTAACGCAAGAAATTGACTTTCGTTCGTAATCATAGGTAAAATTGGCGGAGAGGTTGAACTTAAATAGTCAGCAAAGAATTTTTCAAATTGTTGGTTAATATAATTCGATGGATATCTGCAAAATAAAAATTGGTGATCTTTTAGTGACGTTGTAGATCAAAACAAAATCAATGACATACCCATTGTATAAGAACATTAAACGAATGGCACGCCGTTCATGATTAAATATTTCAAATGTTGATGAATAGCGTACAGCTTGAGTGAGAGCAGTTTGAATGACATTGCGAAAGACATGCCGTGGATGATCTGATAAAAATGATACCACAATTGGTTCAGCCGAAGGTTTATGATAGAGTGATGATGCCAAAATACCATTGTTGTTTTAAAGAAGAACATCAAGAAACGGTAGACTTTTACCAATCTTATATTCTAATTTAATATTTGGATGAAAATTATTCGCTGCATCTAGTATCTCTTTCACCTTGTCTTCCAATTCATTAGATGCAAAAAAACATCATCAATATATCTATGATGAAAAAAAAATACAACTGTAATTAAATTTCTAGGGATACTACAGAGAATACATAACGGCCATATACTTCATGTGAAGCTAGCTTTGGTAAAATAGTTTGTCTTTCCCATTTCCACATGAATATATTTGCTAAGGTTAAAGTAAATGCCGAACCCATAGCACCNCTATAATTACTTTCTCCAAAATGTTGACTTACAGTGATAATTTATTCAAAATACCGAGTCTAACTATTTCTGGCCAGGGGGATATTTGTTCATAGGTGTCCTACAGTGATTGCCTAGACAATCGATCTTTTTACTACATGACATCATATAACACTAGAAACGTAAGCATATGGTAAAATGGTTTTTATCAACTCATGTCAAAATTCATGACAGCTCTGCCATATATCTTTTGAAGAAAGAGCATACCACGACCGGTTCACCTTGCTCAAGGGTCTCATCAGGCATGTTGAGAATTCATTATTACATGAAAAATGAATCAAAACCATTGTGGTTCAAAATGAGAAGTAGCGACTATTCGTAATAATATCTATCTAATATAAAACTCGGTAGAAGATAAGGCAAGAAATTTAAAGCCTCATGTGACGTTTCCCCCTAGAGAGTGTGGATGCTAACCTGCACGACACGTACACCTGGAAAGGCTTGTAGATCAAAAATCGGACGTATATGACTAAGCATGATCTAAGGACACTTCTTTTTTTAGCCCATAATTGTTGATTTGTATCAAGTATTACGTTTTTTTAATGTTTTTTAGCTTATTTTTGAATAGTACTCGACATTCTGTATTCAAATCGATTCTTTTTTAACATTTTAGCATGTCATATATGTCGGAGAGGAGTCGAATAAGAGCTACAGAGCTGATGTGACGGTGGTATATTAAGCTGAAGTTATCGATCAGACAATACAGTTTCGGTCGATCTCATTGCGATATTCGTGATCAGTACACTTGACTCCATGTTCCTATATATGTTTAGGTCGGAACAAAAAGAAAAAAAAAATTTCAGATCCTTAAGGTTTTCGCAGATTTCAAAAGCCTCACTAGCGCCTATCGCAAATTTGACCTATTCAATGTGACTCGGAACCACCCATGACTCGATTCCAATGGAGAAATCTCAAATACATAGAGGGTCAAAGAACAGTCATACCTGGGCTACGCTTTTAAAAATCGTTATCTTGCCATGACGTAGGATAAATATTTGCTCTTTTTCTTTCTTCTTTCTTTCCAGCTGTCTTAGTTGGTTTTTGTGAAACACGATCTGAAAGGAGTGTTGAAGGGTTTAGGTGTAGAAATTTGCACCCCCCTCCCCCCACAGACCGTGACAGACAGGTTTTGGACCCATCACAGACCGTGACAGACAGGGTTTGGACCCATCACAGACCGTGACAGAGAAACTGTAGTTCTAAAGCATCAGATAAACGGTTAGCTACAGATGTATCACAAAGAAATGGAACAAAACGATTTCCAATGAACTAGTAACAATAGATCCATCGTGTTTCACATTTTTAATCCCGCAATGGATTGTTCTAACAGCTTTTTTTTACACAAGAGAAGATTAACTCGTCGATAGTGAGTCATGTAAATGGATATATCCACACTATTCATCTTGCACCTAGAGTTGCTCAAACAACGAGTAAGACGAGAAAGAAAAATGGCAGTCGCGATTGTGCCTTGTTAAATTATGTCTATGAAGAACATTCTGCGTAGTTTTATTTCATGTGTTTTCTTTTTCTCCTGTTGCTTTCAGAACAGTGAAAAAAACACATCAAGGACGCAAGAGACGACAACATTGAATTCAATGACCAGCGTTCTTCAAATTGAAGCGTCGACGACATCGACAAAAACGCCTGAAATCGATGAAGGACTCTATTCTCGGCAACTGTAAGTCAAGTATTTTGTTGCTAATATTGAAACATGAACTGTCGGTATCAGATATGTTCTTGGCAAAGAAGCGATGCATCAATTGGCTGGTGCTCATGTGCTCATTTCTGGCATGCGTGGTCTCGGTGTCGAAATTGCCAAGAACATCATTCTAGGTGGTGTCAAATCGGTCATCATTCAAGATGAAAACACTATTGAATACGCCGATCTCTCTTCACAGGTAAAATATGCGCTTTTCGAATGCATACGCGCTTTAAAAAGGACTGGCATATGAACTGTGAATATGTCTATCAACCTTGATGCAACAGGAACAGATCAATGCGATTTTAGAATCGTCAACACATCACATTATAGGAAACGAATCTAGCCGAAACAGAAACGAAATTTGAGAGTTTCTCGAAAATTTCCCGTCAAATTTAAGCTCATTATTAGCGCAAGCAATGAAAAATATCGACTAAAACTTGATTACAATTTTGATCTACTTTCAATTTCCGGTTTCTTGATAATGGTTACATCTCGATTGATTAGCTGCTTTAAAAAAATCAAACATTGATTTTAAACGTTTGCAGTGACGTTCAAAGCTAATTTTTTTCGCGTTCGTAAAACGTAACTATTCAGAATTCAGATTTTTATCCTTAAACAAACTCTGAAATGCATTTTTTTTTAAACATTAATTTCTCTCGTGTTAAAATCAAAACTTATTTTCTATCAGATTCTAAACGTTCTCGGTAAAAATTCTAAATAAATTCTCGCTTTGAAAAAAAATACATAGAGTATTTTTCCTAAAGTATTAGATGGAAAGAAACTCTGACAAAGTTTCGATTTTAAAGATTACAATAAAACTCTAATTCATATCCGCAATCAGATTATTGCATTTAAAATCCTGTATATCAACTCATGCCGTTTCCACAAAAGTCAGAAAGTTTGTCATTGACTTATTTTGCTCGACTAAGGAAAGCGGTACAGAATATGAATGGTTGCACTCCGATCGTTAACGATGGAAAGCCAAATTCTTCATACGCATGAGCACGACAGTCGTTTCATCGAGAAACCTTCAGAGTTATGGGCCGCGTGATTCCTTAAAACTTCCTAGAATCGTATGAGGTCCCTTACAGTCAATGAGAGTCATTGGCAGGGATGCCAAATCCAAATTTTTGGAATCAGGAGTTTTTATTAAAAATCAGGAGTTGACCAGGAGATTTTTTCCAAAAAATCAGGAGCAAAATCAATAGATTTTTTGCGAAATTAGATCAAGTAAGAGAGCATCAAGCAGATTTTTTTGAAGCAAGTAACCGATTTCATTGATTCCAATTGAAAATTGTACATTACAGACAAGAAAAGCCTTTGGTCTGATCATTTTTTACATTCATCAAAAATGAAAAATAGTTTGTATTGGACAGTCATTTGTTTCTAAATTTGGATGCATAATGTTTAGTCATTGTGGCATGTTAAAATGAAACGAATCTTGATTTCAAAATGCTTTTTAATACAGCAGTGATAGCATTTGTTTAGCTATATTACAGCTTGAAGAAGAATCTTTCATTCCGACAGATTCGAAAGTTCATTAATCTTGTCACATTGTGATGAGAACATTCGAGGAAACAACTAGGAGGCTATTTCAATGTACGATTATTTAGACTAAAAGCCTATACAATTAGGGAGGAGACAGGGATTCTTCCTTTCTCAATTTTTTCGCTCGTTCTGCATTTTTTCCTGAAAAGTTTAGGTAGCTGATCTTTTGCGTTCTTTTGGAATTTTTTAATCGACTAAATGCACCAAAAATACGCAAAAGGAAAGTTGTCATCCTGGTTATCAAAAAGAATGGGTCAGTTTTTCCCAAAGAGACACAACTATCTGTTTTTGGAAGACTTTCTTGTTGGCTTTCTTTCAGGCTTGAATAAAGTCAAACGAAAGCCATGATAAAGAATCTTTGTTTCTCGAAGTTTAACGGGTGGTGGGACATTGTTTTGTACCACATGTTTGTTTTTTTCTCAGCCGTTTCAAGGACCATGTATAAATTAAAAAGCGTAGAATCATAAGCAACGTTTATCAGGGTCGATTCAATCAGCTCTGGACTGAATAATTGAAGATCTTTCTGATTTTGCGATTTTACATGCATTCAAAATCTGGGAATCTGACGAAAAAAATACTATTTTTAAAACACAAGAAATGGCAAAACACTTGAAAGAAAGAGCAAAGCCGTAAAAATTCAAAACTGGTCCAATAGTTCGGCTCATTTACACCCCGAAGTTGGGATTCAAAGAATCCAAAAAACGAGAGTAAAAGAGTTCGTAAAATTAGTAAATGAAAAAACCATGTAGAATTGGATGAACAGTGATGTAAAAAAACGTTTCAGACAGACACAGAGACACATCCACAGACAAAAGGAATTAATTAGCGTTTTGTAGATCCTAGACTATTCAATGTGAGAAAAAAATCGATGGTCGGTACGTCAAGATTGCATTGCAATGGTTCTCTTTTCCTTTTCCGCTTCTTTTATTGATTCAAAATGTCGCTAGAGTCGATGCTTCGAAAAAAAACTAAAAATCAGGAGAAAATCTTCAAAATCAGCTCCTGAATTCAGGATAATTTTTACCAGGAGAAAGGTTTAAAAATCAGGAGACTCCTGGTCAAATAAGGAGATTTGGCAACCCTGGTCCTTTGGAACCTTGCGAGATCGTTAAAGACCCCATAGAATCTTTGTTCATCTTAAAGTGCATTGCAAAGACAAGAATATATCTTCGATAATGGACTTATGCACCCAATAGACACAGAAAGGTCTCTGAACGTTTTTCCAGCGAGACTACTGTCACTATATATGGAACTAGATAAACATTAATCGGAAGCTTTTTCGTTGCGCTGATAAGTCTTTTACACTATCTTGCTTGTTAACTGACAATTGAAGATTTTTCTTGAATTTGACTTAACGAGTGTCTTTTTTTCTGTTCTAGTACTATTTCAGCGAATCCGATATTGGCAAGAATCGAGCTGAAGTTGCACACGCCAAGTTGGTCGAGTTAAATAACTATGTTAATGTCACATTTTCATTGAAATCGCTCAATTATGATTTACTTCAAGAAAACAAAGTCAATGTAAATCTTTGCATTACTCATTCAGCTACAGTTCCCATCTGTTATTGTTCATACACAGGTATGTGTAATAACTGATGCAACATGTGATGAACAAGTCAGTGTCGGTGACTATTGTCACAAGCATCAAATCAAGTTTATAATTGCTAATACTAAAGGTTTATTCGGGTGAGGAAAACAATAGAAATTTGTCTAGTTTTAATTTTCTAATTGTTATGATTGATATTGAGGCAAATCTTTTGTGATTTTGGAGAGAACTTTGATGTATTCGATACGAATGGTGAAAATCCGGTCGTGCACATTGTTATGGATATCAGCAACGTATGTTGATGCTACGTATATTGTTGATGAGTATATTTGTTCTAATTTTAGGAGGAAGAAGGTGTTGTCTTGCTACCGACCGACACACGACATGAGCTTGACGACGGCTCGTACGTCACTTTCAGTGGTGTCAAAGGCATGACTGAAGTAAATGGTAAAGAATTCAAAATCTCCGTCAAGAGTAGGTGTTCCATTTTTATGATCTAAAAGTCCTTAATCACGTGTTAACAAACAATATTAGGTCCATATGTATTTACAATTGGTGATACGAAAAATTTCGGTACTTATGAATGTGGCGGAACAGTGGCCGAAGTGAAAAAGCCTAAAACCATACATTTTGTAAGTTGGATTTGTTTCTTTCGTGAGATTAGCACTGCATCGCAGTTGATTTTTCGGGAAACAATCGTAAAACTTTATCGTTACCCGTCAAACTTGGATTAGCCAAATGGTCTTTTGGCCATATGGCGGTCTGTTTTGATGAAAATATTTCATTTTCAAGCGGTTTTCAGTTAGGAGAGCGACTCGGAAGACTTTTCATCCAGGTAGAACCTTGTACTAGCAGTGGTCCTATTTCAAAATTCTAAATTCCACTGTATCTAAGGTGGTGAGCCAATCAAAAAGATCGGAAAAAAGTTTACATTCGAGATGCTTATAATTGTCGAATTCCCGGACAGGGTCAGTCACATCTGTTAAAACGTTGCTCAAAGGGAACTATTGGAATAATCGTCGTGTAAGCGAAAACTTGTCGTTATAATGGCGGCATTCATCTAGCAATTTCTATTTAGTTCTTAGAAAAAGACTTTTCTTTGGCATTCGTGAAAGTCGAAACATTCGAAAAATCTTAATTATTTTCTTTTGAGAAGATTTCCATTTTAATCGAAAATTAGAAGAAAAAGAATATTTTGTTTGTTTCCAAAAAACTATTCGAATTTTATTTTGTCATTTTCTTTTCAAGAGAATTACAGACACCGTGTTTTAATCGTTTTGTGTACTCAAAAAGTGAGTACACTATAGAATCGATCACTGTGTCCGTCCGCCCGGCCGTTTACATGATAACTCTTCAAAGGGTACTCCAATTGTGATGAAATTTTGCACACAGAATCATCTCATCAATATCTCGGTTGAGTTCGAAGATGAGAATGATTCGTCAAGAAATTGCTGAGTTATCACAAAAATGTCATTATTTCCTGTGCTTTTCATTGCGAACATTGGCCTATCCCGGTTTTCATAAAAAAAACGTTTTCTTTCATAATCAAATAAAACCTCAGCTATTATATACCATTCGATAGAGAATTTCATGGGCTACAAAATGGTGTATAAAACATTAAGAAACAAGAAGGCTAAGTCACCTATTGCAAAGATACTTAAACGGAAATTGCTTCTGTGTTTGTCCACGCTCTGATTGTTCGAAAATTAAAGCCCTATCTTCCAATCAGAGAAGCGATACTTCGAGGTTTTATCCGACTTGAACAAAGGTTTTCTGGGGTGTAGAACTTGAATCTGAGCTCCACTTGCCTCGAAATCCTATTGGTTGAACAGTCACCAATAGAAATCAAGTTTATAAAAAAAATGGCTTGCTAGGATAATTTTGATGTATAAACATCCTATGATGACTCACCTGTTTACTTTTTGAAGTATACATAACACTCGGATTTAAATCCAAGGTTTCCACATTTATTTAGAACTATTTTGAAAAAAATTCTTCTACTTAATCTTTGAATGTTCTCTTTGTTAACGATTGCCGACGTTCTATTGTACAGAAATCATATGCCGACTCTTTGGTCAAGCCTCAAATACTCATTTTTGACTATTCCACAATGTCCATGCCTGCTAATCTTCATTTGGCCTTTCAAGCCTTTTCCCTCTTCAAGCAGAAATACAATACTGTACCCAAACCATGGGACAATGTAAGTATTGAAGTTTGAATTGATTTTCAGTCATCTTCTGTCTAGGACGATGCTGAGAAATTCTTTGAATTGGTACAAGAACTCAGCTGCAAAGATTCGGAAAAGCCTGTCACTGAAGAGTTGAACAAACATTGGGTACAACTTTTTTCGAAGACTTGCACAGGTGATCTGTGTCCAATGCAGGCTGTCATTGGTGGTATTGCTGCTCAAGAATTAATGAAGGTAGATGTTTTGTGAGCTTTAATCTCGATATGTAAAGCTCGTACCTTTCATAGGCTATCACTGGCAAATTCATGCCCATCACGCAGTTCTTCTATTTTGATGCTATTGAGTGTTTGCCCGAAGATATATTTCAAACGCCAGAGACTGAAAACGAAGCATCATCATCCGAACCAGTCACTACAAATGCTTCTACTACGCAATCGAAATCTCAGACCATATTGAAGTTGCCAAGCAAAATGTCTCGCTACTATTCACAAGAGATCGTCTTCGGTGAAGACTTTCAACATCGGATCGGCACATCGAAATACTTTGTGGTACGTTTTATTATCTTGTATGTATATAAGCACACGTATTTCGAGTTCTTGCTTAGGTTGGCTCTGGTGCGATTGGTTGTGAGATGCTAAAAAACTTTGCCATGATGGGTATAGGTTGTGAAAAGGATGGTTCTGTATTTGTCACAGACATGGACTCAATCGAAAAGTCGAATTTAAATCGACAATTTCTCTTCCGTTCATGGGATATCGGCGTGAGTTGGTGATATATCCCAAATCAGCATATTTCTTTCTCTGTTTCTAGAAAATGAAATCACAAGTAGCAGCCAAAGCAGTGAAAACAATGAACCCAAATATGAACATTCACTCGTTTATCGAAGGTGTTTTTACAGAAACAGAACATATCTATAATGATACATTTTTCGAGCAACTCAGTGGAGTTGTTAATGCACTTGACAATGTCAAAGCACGTACGTTTCTTACTGGAACTTCTGTTGAAGTGCTCTAGCCACTTTTTGTAATTGATCATAATGATCTTCGCCTCTAGGTCGATACATTGATGGTCGCTGTGTATACTATCGCAAGCCAATGATTGACAGTGGTACATTAGGTACGAAGGCGAGCGTTCAAGTCGTTGTACCTTTTCTTACCAATTCGTATTCATCGACGAGTTTTCCACCCACAGCATCGGTACCGATGTGTACCTTACGCAATTTTCCCAATTTAATCGAACATACTATCGAATGGGCACGTGACAACTTTGCTGGACTCTTCACTAATTCAGCACAGCAAGCCGAAGAATTTTTGTGTGATCCGAACGCTTTTGTTGAACAAATCGCCAAAAATCATTCAGTAGCTGACAAGGATGAAGCGATCGAAAATGTCAAACGAATTATTCAAACGGAACGTCCCAAAAACTTTTTTAATTGTATTGCATGGGTAAGTAATGGATGGCTTTCAGTATTTTTGATAATACTCTCTTAGGCGCGAAACCTTTTCGAACAACAATTTCACAATAATATTGTTCAACTGCTCTACAACTTTCCGCCTGATTATTTAACCACGAACGGTGATCGTTTCTGGAGTGGCGCCAAACGATGTCCTAGAGTACTCGGATTCGATGTAACAAACAAAACTCATCTCGATTTTATTGTTGCTGCATCGAATCTTTTTGCACACATGTACTCTATCCCTAAACTATGTGATCGTCATCAAATTGCACATGAAGTCGTGAAAATTCAAGTGTCTGAATTTCAACCAAAAGCAGGTGTCACTATACATGAAAATGATGAACAATTGAAAGCTGACATGGAACAAAAACATCAAATGGGCACCATGAGAAATACTAATAATCAAGATGATAGTGAGTCTGAAGTTCGAGAAATTCTTGCTCGACTTCCGAAGCCGAAAGAAGCAATCGATTTGAAACTTCAGCCACACGAATTTGAAAAGGATGACGACACTAATTTTCACATCGACTACATTACGGCAGCAGCCAATTTGCGAGCTGAAAATTACGAAATTGAAACTGTCGATCGAAGCAAGATAAAACGTATCGCTGGCAATATCATCCCGGCCATTGCCACCACGACCGCCATGGTCACTGGTCTCGTATGTCTTGAAGTGTACAAGTTCATTCAAGGTCATAAGAATATTGAATTTTACCGTAACGCATTTGTTAATTTGGCGCTCCCGTTCTTTGGATTCTCTGAGCCAGCAACGCCCAAAAAACAAAGGGTAAAATAAAGATCTTCTCAATTACTTATAAAAGTGTTTTTATAGTTGCGTTCTTGAGCATTTTAAAACATTGTTTTCTCTTTGAATTTTTCTAATATCTAGTCAGACTGCAAAAAAAGAATTTGTGTTGACCGTTCCACTCATTGATTCAATTCTTTCGATCTCTCTTGTTCGAATATTGAATATCAACGTAAATATTTTTGTATTGTCAAAGATTTGATTGCCTTTTTTTTCTAGTACCTCGATCATCAATTCTCTTTGTGGGATCGATTTGAAGTCAACGGCGATATGACATTAGAAGAACTCATGGAATACTTCAAGGTTATAAATAATAGCGATATTTCGATTATCTTTATTTCTTATTGAATTTTTTCAGGAGGAACACGAACTAGACATCACTATGCTATCTGTCGGAACGACAGTCATCTATAGTGCGTATTTTATGCGTAAGGGAAACCGAGCATTCGATGTAAAGCAAAAGTAGGTCGTTCATTTCATGCCTTTTTATGTGAAATACTTTTGTTTTTGAAGAGTTACCCAAGTATTCGAGACGATGGCCAAGACAAAAATTCCGGCTCATGTTCGCGCACTCATGATCGATTTGTCATGTGACGATCTCGAAGGAAATGATGTTGAATATATACCCTATATCAAGTATAAATTCAGATGAACAAACATACTATCGAAAATTCAACATCGGACACATGCTTGAAATAAGCTACCAATACTGGTTTCGACTTTGCTTAAGAGTCTTATCAAATGGTTTAAAAGATCAATTTGAATTAATAAATCCAAATAAAATATCTACATTTGTTACCATAGGATACAGAAAACACTAGGTAATAGTAGAATCGTATGGAGGGTGGGTGTGGGTGTGGGTGTGATATAGTTACCACGATAACTCAAGTTATTTCGATATTTCTGACTCAATCTTATCAAGTGGCCTAAGTACCAGTATAGTTGATCCAAACAAAGTTAAAATCAACACATGATACTATTTTTTTGGGTGTGGGTGTGGGTGTGATAGTTACCACGATAACTTAAGTTATTTCGATATTTCTGACTCAATCTTATCAAGTGGCCTAAGTATTAGTATGAGAGATTTAAAAACTTTTAATAAAAAGTTTAAAATCAATACATAATACTTTAAACATCTACTCAGTATAAAGTAGATGACCCAATATGAAAAAATAATGGGTGTGATAGTTACCACGATAACTTAAGTTATTTCGATATTTCTGACTCAATCTTATCAAGTGGCCTAAGTATTAGTATGAGAGATTTAAAAGACTAGTAAAAGTTTTTTGAATCACTACATAATACTTTTAACATCTACTTAATATAATCAATAGATAGCACTAAGTAATTTTCAAATATCGCTCGCCTAAGTACTTTTTAATGGATTGATTTAGTACCTGATTTTTCGATCGCTGTTGGCGTTTGACTTTCGTCTGTTTGGAATCCGTTTGTTTGGTTGTGTGGTGATGTGATATTATCGGAAAAGTAATGAATAGGTGTATTTTTTTGTGTACTAAATGAAGTGTTGGAAAATAACAGATGTTTATTAAGTATATATGAAATACACAGAGTCCTATTTTTCGGTTATGTTTTTTTGTTTTGTGGTAGCATGTTGTTGATCAGTTGCAGAAGAGGGTTCTTTTCTAATGATGACCTATTAGATAAAAAATATATATGTAAGAGTAAGTAAATAGTTATAGGTCTCTATACTGTTCGGTTCGTTGTATGATGGGTGGCAAAGTTAAGTAACTTCGGTCTGGAGATCTTTTCACTAGACAATCAATGATATTGTCGTTGAGGAAACTATGACTTTGCTTGAGCTTGATACTAAACGGTGGCGTTTGGTGATGTTGTTTTAAATATTCACTGGTTTTTGTAAGTAATTGATGTTCGATTTTCTGTATTGTGTTTTCGTCGATGTTAGGAATGTAAGGAAGTTGTAGTTGTATTTGGTTTTGTTGCGGTTGCTGTTCATTTTTTTTAATTTTCTTTGCTTTTCGGTATTTATCATAATTGAAAACATGTTGACGCATAATGTCATGATAAGATCTTGTATGGGGTGGGTAAACCACCTTTATACCAAAATCTTCTAAAATTTCGTTATGGGCTTCTTGGAAGACAGTATCAGGTATTTTATAGAATTGAAGTTCCCATTGGATGGCAAGCATTTCCTCGTGGAAAGTATCAGGTGTTGAACAATATCGTATAGCTTTTAACATTGCAGCACGCAACCATTTCCATGTATTTTGTTTTATTGGAGGTTGTATAATATCTGGAAATGTTGTGAATAATTGTTTGTTGTTGTACATGTGTGCATGGTAAATTGATGTACGAAAAACTCCATTTTGGTTACTAATGTGGAGATCACGAAAATCAATGGTTGATCCAATATGAGTTATATTCCACATGGATTGTGGAAATTGTGAATTAGCTGTCGCAAGTATAGTACGAAGTTCATCTTCCGATCTATTCCATGTAATGAATGCTTCATCTTGATATCTACATAGATATGAATAGAAGAGAATTTCATTTTTTACAAGAAAATAATGGTATGATAATAACCTGATGAAGAGTTCATTCTTATTAATAAGTTCTTCTAATAAATCTCGTTGCCAATAATATAAATAAATATAGACCAATGGAATTGTTAATGATGAGCCAGAAGCACAACCAGCCGTTTGTCGATATAATTTATAATTATAAAAAAAATATTGTTCATCGAGTACGAGACGAACAAGTTCAAGAATGGTACTTATTTTCATACCTTGAATAGAATGATCGGAAGAGATGTAGAAATTTAGGAAATTTTCTAAAGCATTGATAACTTGTTGATGTGAAAATTTTAAACATAAATCATCGATATTAAATGAAACAAATAAAGTTGTTGGTCGAAGTTGACCACTTTTTTGATAGAAGTTCAGCGCATGTATAACATTGTAAGCTTTGTGAAATTTTTTACAATGAGTTGCATCATTAAAAAGTAATCCAAGAAGACGACCAAGATAACGACTAATACTATTCGTCGGTCCATTATTACATACGATGATTGGTTGAACTGGAATATCTTCCTGCATACAGTGGTAGAACAAGATATAGTATACGATATGAACCAATGAAGAAGATTTATACATACTTTATGTGTGTCTGATACGAAGTATAAATAATTCATTCGTACTGTAGATCGATCAATCTTCATAGCCATATATTGTGTTTCATTAATAGATTTAGAAGTTAATAAATTGTTCAATGTTGTTTCAATTCGTTCAACCATTTTAGCTAAATGATTTTGGCTAGCAGTTGGATATGAACGACTGAGTTTAAAAACAAATGAATAGCTATTTGTTTGGTTCATGAATTGATTGACTTTATGATGAAAAGTGTTAACAGGTTCCATATGATATCCAATATCTTTATAAATGGGTGGTAAAATAAGATTTTCATTTCTTAATTGTTGTCGAACTTCTTGGAGTTGCTCGTGGTAGTAACATGCTTGTCGACGTTCGAATCGGGTCATATATTGTGAATATACATCTTGAGGGAGATAAACGCCATCTTGCCAATGAATCTTCTTCTCATCTGACGTTTCTTTATGATGATAAGTTATTTCTTTGTCATCTGTATCATTATCACTATCATCATCAGATGAAGACCAATCATGTTCGATCATACAATTGTCTTGGTATTTATATTCAGGTGACGAATAAAGAATTCCTTTTTCAAATTCGTCTTCAGATGAGATGCTTGTTGTTTCAGTTGTGTCAATAATTTCGTTAGCCATTGAAGATAAATGAAGCAGTTTATATATATTGTTTAGTTGAATATGGTAAGTATAGATAATAAATCTACAACGAAAAAAAAAGAAAAGAAAAGACAATTTGATTCTGTATGCAACACAAAATCGATTTCTCTAACACAAAAAAAACCTATGTGTCTTATAGGGTAACATCTTTAACTAGTTATTTAACAAAAAAAAAAGTAGACAATTTTCCTAATAGTTCAGAATCACGACGTTGTTTCAAATTTTGTTCACGTTGGTTGATGATACTGATGATTTGATCGAGTTGTTGAACATTTTTATGTTGAGGTCTTGTACATTGTAGCTTATTTTTTTCGTTGTTTATTATTTTGCTATAGGATTCTACCAATTCTTCAGCTTTCATAATTGTTTGTTCGGCGATATGTTCTGCTGATGATGTTTGATATTGAAACGAGAGTGATATGAATATATGGTATATTTTTGGTAACTGAACATCTTGAAGTGTATATGATGGTGCTTGTGTGTGAACTTCAAGCCATTTCTTAAAGATAGCAATTTCATGGATTATATTTTGTTGTTCATGCGTAGCTTTGAAGATAACTTTAGCAGACTTGATCTAAACTTAGATACATTTTGCAAATATAAGTAAAACATCTCTAAACTTACTTCGGTTTGTCTTGGCTTCATTTGATAAAAATGTTCAACGAGTTTATGTTCTTCAGCATCTAATCGAAGCATTGTTTTTCTTCGGTTAAGTTCAAGTTGTAATTCGTATTGATCATTTTGGATTAAATTGTTGATGATAGTGGTCATATTCTGTAAATTAATATTGACTGGTGCTTGTTTCATGTGTTCATTGATAGCTTCTTGGATCTTTTCACATTGAAGTTTATATGTCTGAATACGTTGTTTGATCAAGTTTTTGGATCGACCATATGTATGGCACATTGAATTAGCATCAGCTACTTTTTTCGATACTCGGCCGTTCCAAATACCTTCGTTCATGCCAAGATTCTGATAATATGACCATTGTTCATGTTGTAATTCAGCATACTTTAATTTATTGACTAATTCTGTAAGATGACGAATAAATATGAACAGATCTTTCTGATTCAATAATTCAATAAGTTCATCTTGATTCATAGTATTGCCTATTGATTTGACTAATTTTTCGTGAAATTTACTATCTGATATTGTTGAATAATCTTGTAAAAATACTGTTGGATCAGAATTTGTGGCTAGGTCAATAATAGGATAATTTTTTTCCATACACAAGTCTGATGTTGTGGATAAATTCTGAACGTGTACACTTGGATCCATAGTTGCTAATTGAAGTTGTTGATTGATAGAGACTTGTTTGTTTATCATACGTGATCGACGATTTTTCTTTTTGTGATTTACATGTTTGCTTTTTTGTTTGTTTTGATTGAATTGATTGTGCATTTTTAACTGTTAAAAGTATATAAATACTTTGATATTATTTAAGGTTAGATATCTGAAACAAACAAAAAAGAAAAACAAAAAGGAAACAAATATGTATACATCTTTTTTTTTTTCACAATGACAAAAACAAAAAAAAGAAAAGTTTCAAATGTCTGTATAATGTTCATTATATATTCGCACCATTGCCATTAATTCCATTGTGATTTGTTTCTAGAAGATACACAATTAGATGTCGTATAAAATAAAAGTTAGTAGCAGATACTTACTCTTTGATAATGGATCTTTGAGTATAGATGAAGGTGGTCGTTTACGTGAAAGTTCAAATTCGATATTTCGATTGTTTCGATAGCCGACAATTAATCGAATGTTTCCATAGATAGTGTTCTTAAAGTGATTATCATGTATTTGATGAATTTCCCGTGCTAAACCTTTGAGTCTAGCCTCATGTGTAACATGAACAAAGACATTATTTTGGAATTTATTATTATTATTTCGTTTGATTGTAGCCTCGATTATTTGTGTATGTCGTTGTGTCATATCGACGGCAGCTGCACTTATAGTAAGTTGTGTTTGTTTAGCGGTCGGTTCATTTGTTATTGTTTGATGTAATGTAGAAAATTGATTTTCATCTATTAT